TGAGTTGATCGCCACCCTGCATAGGCCACAGACGATGCGTTTTATGAGTTTAGGGTATAAATTTACACTAAATAATTTTGATATAAATATGGAAAACGTCTAGAAAACAGAGTCATTTCAATATTACCGTGGGATCAATTAAATCCCTGTGCCTCATAATATGCAGATCTTATAGGCTCTAGAACGATGCTTCCATGGTCTTCCATCATAGAATTGTGCACTTTACTGGCTTCTGCTTCTTCTCATCACCGTATATCTCATTGGATTCCTTTTGCGCAACAGAAGCTCCGCTACCTGCTCAAGGCCACCGGCGTTGGCAAGGACGTCAACACCAACTTCGTGATACACTCGATCTCCATCATAAATTACACTCGGCTCAAGCCGCGGTTCATGAAGTCTGTAGATATCTAGCAACGTAGAAAGGCAGCCGTCGTGGTCGTTATCCCGGCATCAGTCCTCATCGGGTATCCAAGGCTTCGCTTCCAGATACCCGGGGTCTCCCACTGTGACAAGGGCTTGTGTAGTATAAGGGCTTGGAACAGTATTCGATATTCGGCTAATACTTCGATTTGATATCGAAGGTCCTTGGTTTTTCTTAACGCCTCGAAGGGCGGATGATCCTTATTTATATCAAACAGCGGTGAAAGAGCCGGCCTAGGTGCCTGAGGCCTCCATTAGGTCTTGAGCCCTTGTGTAACTATCGTCATGTTCAAGGTACGGCCCGTGCCTTTATGGCAACGTAACATTCGTGTAACAACTACGACGTAAAGGGCTTGCAAATTCTCCCAAAGGGACAAGAGGTTAATCAGGCCGGTGAAGCCATAATATTCCGGGATGTCTGGCCCCGACCACACGACAGCCAGGTTGTGAAGAGTCCTCCGAGGTTCCATGTATCGAAACGAGGGACCAGCCTGTGGCATGGCGACTGCCAGCCTTGCTGAAGCATGAGCAAGTCGCGACGGGCGTCGATTTCATGCCGCAGGCCGCCAAGAGATATTGGCGAATCTGCTTGTGGCGTTGATAAGCAGCAGTGGCCACGTCCGAGGCAGTCCTGCAGCAGAGGAGGAGCGACGATAGCGTGCTGATGAATTCGCTCTTTGCCGGACCATTTTTCGCGGCATTGTCAAGGTGCGCTCGGCATTTGCTGTTCGTGCCGATCGAACCGCCTTCATTTCGGTGCCGCGCTTGAGTCGTCAGGTTGGCCAGGTACGCAGTTACGCGTGGCGCTGGTATCGCTGCCTCCCATATTGTCTGTTATAGCTCGATTGGCAGCCGTGCAAATAAAGGAAAGAGGGCCATTCTTTGAACCGTGGTATCTGCCGAGTGCAAAGGAAGAAATGCCCACGCACCGAATCACATCCTTAGGCGAGGGTTGGAGCGAAGGCTGGGCCGAGTCCGACAACGGCCAACGCGAAGCCCTCAAGAACGAGGGCAGAGGCTGCGCCCTCTTCCCGGCGCCTGGCTTCAAGCTCGAGTATGCGCAGAATCTTGAAAACAACGACAAGCACGGCGACGGGAGAGAATGGACGGCCTACTTTCGCATGGACTGATGCCATCGGTTCTGCCGGCGACTTTGACGGGGGCTGCTCTGGCGGTGGCGCCTTAAAGCTTTGATGTTTCCGAGTAGATGTCCTTGTAAAAGTTGATCAACGTCGTTGGTCCGACTCTAAATTACCGCTGCGCTCGGCTTTTTTACCCCTCGCTTCGCTCGAACTGGTGACGGACATGCCTAATCTTGTGAGTAATAATGACCTGTAAGGACTTGATGAAACTGGCAAATGAAGCACAATATTAGTTGCTTGCATTAATGTCAGGAGCCGGGTGCCGTACATTATGTATTGACAAGGCGAGCGTTCTGAACCACTGGTTCCGGTATACGAATTTGCAATAGAGCTGCCAAGCGACGGCTTCCTGGTGACACCAATATGGGGGCCGCGTTGATAAGACGGCCAGACTTTCTTCAGCCTCGGCAAGAGATGCGAAACATATCTCACAGCCCCTCCATGGTAACGAATGGTCGACTGACTCCTTTGAGATCAATGATGCGGATGCGGATGCTCCCGCAGTACATTACCGCATTTAGCACGTCAGCCGGAACCGCCCGCCAACATCCGGGACTATGAATATATGTAGCTACGTTATTCCTATGATTCAATCATCTCATTCCGTAGCCTGATGTTAAGAGCAAATGTCGTGTCCCCGTCCAATTCCAGTCACACCGTGTGCGGCTTATACTCGCCGGGATACGCGACACCTCCAAGGCTATGTGACCGTCTTTGCACATGGTTACATCTATGTCGCTGGGTCAAGTCTCATCTTTTGCTTGCAGTGCCGAAATTGCCGTCAAGAGGCACTGGGGCGTGGGACGATAGGCAATTAGCGAGTACCAGATTAATAACTGACTAGATAATCTTAACCAATATCTAAAGCCAAACAACGAAAAAAATAGAGAGCTCGTCGCTACTCATCTCGCTTCTCAGCAGATCCCGCTATTGGCATCTTGTCAATGAATAGAGGCGAGAACCCGGCCGAGCCATTTTCGGGCCAAGTCTGGTTTAAATTTCCACGTTTGCCACACCCTTTCGGCGACAATTTGGGCGTTTCGCTGCCTTGGGCGGCTCCAGAGGCTTGTCTGCTATATACCAGTTAATAGTATTCGAGGTTTGGACATCATGTGTAATACCTTGTTCAATGCCTAGTACAAACTTGTTCTTCTCCCGGAATTCTTTAGCGTATTTCTGGCAGGCTTCGCCGGAGAGATTTTGATCATAGCACAAGCCAGCGTCAGTAGCTGGATCTCTTGGCTTAAGGCAAGCCTTGACATCCGCTTCAAATACTTTGAGGTCTTCTTTATTGCACCATTGCCTATTTTGAACCTTGGGTATTGCATCATTCCACAGTCGTACGCATTTCTCCCAAATATGGTTTGTGCAGTAGTAATGTGGTATGTTCAAGGAATAGCAGGCATTAGCCCAAATTCCAAAAGCTTCCTCTTCGAGCTCTTCAATGGTATTACTACAATTATCGCGCTTATGTTGTTGAGAATAAGATGGGATAGAGAATGCCTGGCCTGCGAACAACGCAGCGGTAATAAATGCGAAACCCTTCATGTTAAAATGAAAGGCTGTGGCAAAATGGCTGGTTTAGACAAAGTTTTGAACAAGGCGAAGAAGACCAAGGCAATTTACCGATAACGGGGGGATAATAAAACAGGTAAAGAGTGATGGGACAATGGAACGTAGCAGCTTTTATATCTCGTCCTACGAGTCATGGAAGCTTTATATGCAATTATTTAAGCTAGAGCTTATACAAGCAATCTTGCGTTATTTGACCATATTTGTACCCTAAATTCATGCCAATGCTAGTTTACACCACTTGACTTGAGACTCGCGACTGGACCCTAGAACTCGCAATATTTATGCAAAGACTTGTAGTCGAGTCATGGCACCGGGGTTCGAATATTCATGCAAAATTGCGAGTAGCGTGGGTTACGTGGCGGAAGGAAGTTCACTCCACAGCTGTGACAAGGCCTCGGTGCTCGTTAGAGAGCTTAGAACGAAAAGGTTCAAATTCAAAGATAATAATATCAAAGAGTGTTAAAGGTCCTTGGCTTCCTAGGAGAAAGGAAGGGAACAGTAAGCATTGTATATGTAACGGGAATATTTATGCCTAAGGCACTTACTTAGACACGTGTTAAATCTGTGTAACGAATAGGTTCTTTATTGGTGAAGCCTGATTATTGGGCCTTTTCCGTGAAACAACAGCGGCTCGGCATAGAAGAAATTTTACCGGACGCGTCTAGGGACTATTGGCAATGCCCTTAAGATATAAGCCTGTGGCTCCAATAGTTCATGCAAAGCTACTTAGTATACGTACATGTACCTCTTAACTAAATGTTCATAATATATGTGTAACGGCTAGGGTCCTTAATATTCAAGGGATAAACCAATCAGGGTTCATGTTAGCATAGTCTCTCAGGCTATCTGGTCACGTGACAGTCGATTAACATTTTGCATACATATGTAGCTGCACGGGCATGACCAGACTCTTACAAGGGCATCCATGTGGCCCTTATGCGACCAGACCATGACGCTTACCACTGGCATCTTTCTTCTCCCCCCTCTCGGCGATTGTCGCCAACACCTGGCGACGTGGACATCAGGATGGAACCGAACCGTGTCTGGCACGACCCAGTAGTTGAAATATACAGTAACCTTATAACCCCCGGTGTGCGATGCTCTGCAGAGGCATACGATCTAGCCAATCGTCGCTGGTACTGTTTAAAGGTCGAAGCAGAGGTCGAGGATGATCAATGGCTCTCATCAACCGTCGCCACGCACCTTGGCCGGTATTACGCTGCAAATCGGGAGAAGCCGCCCTGGAATACAATCCGGATGAATGCAGACGGCAGCCTGGTCACGTTTGACTCCCAACCGGACGACAAAGTCGACAGACCCATTCGAAAGTCACTGTGTTATGGGCACAAACGCACCGACAGATTGCCAACCACGGCCGTTGACAATCTCAAGAATCTAAGCTACATTAGTCGCTCAGCAGACCGATGTACCTGGAATGACCAAGACTGCGTCTTCAAGCGCATCGAGTTTGATGTTGATGTAGAGGTTATCGAGGACGAGATCCAGACGCGCGAGACTCTCATCCACGCCATGGGTCTAATGCCAGCGACTCAAACCAATAATGAAATGGCCAGGCGCTTCTCTCTTGTCCCCATTCTTGCCGTTGTCGTGGCCGACAGAAAGCCCTGGAAACCCGGCACTGTTGCAGGCATCCTGATGCCATATGGTGGCGAGGATTTGGAAAGTTTGGTGCGAAACCGCAACACCGGTCTTTCACTCACCCTGACACAGCTTCTAGACCTGGTTCGAGGCGTTCGAGAGCTTGCAAAGTGTGGTGCGCAACACGGCGATATCAAGTATTGGAACACGGTGCTTCAGCCGACGGAGCAGGGTGACGGCCCGGGCAAGCTGATGCTCATTGACGCAGGCTCCGAGGCTCCAGAGTACGATGGAGATGCCAGGGCATTGGGAACGCTGTTGCTTTGGTGTCTCGAAAATACCCCAGCTTTGAGACAGGACAGGCAGGCCAAGGCCATGGTGGTTGCTGCGGCGAGTGCTCTTGTCAATGGGAATTTCGATGCGGCCCTCGGCTGCTTGTCTGCGAGGAAACATGTTGACGGAGCAGGATGAGATTGAATAGCCTAGCCTTTCTTTTCCTCCAAGAGCCAACAAGTGCCTCATGTAGGACTTTGGTGCATGCCATTCCGGGCCGACGTGGTGCTTCTTGGCGCTGAGATGATGAAGGTCGAATGATGCGAGATTCGAGCAAACAACAAAATGTTGATACAAGCCCGGTCTTATCCAGAACATTCCCGGCCGGCATAAAACCCTGAAAACATGTATCGGATGGGAAATATGTCGTTCGTGTTGATCGCGAGACAACCGAGGCAATAACGGAGAATATCATGAATGGAGTCTTGGGGGCTATTCGGCGTCTACGCCATGCAGCGCCGGCCTGAAACCACCTGACTACAGCAAAGGCTTTATTATCCTGGCCCTGGTCGCGGCTATTACCAGCAGGCATTCATGACAGGAAAAAAAGTCATTGCGGACGTGAAACTCGGTGTTCTTGATCATTACACTGAGTCGCTGCGTGACGCCAAACTTGGGCGACCTGCACAAGATTTCTGGACGAGACCTATCCTCGTGGTCTGATATCGATGCTCTCCGCGGCTCTTGTCTGAATCCCGTCATGATGTACTCACAGGCGCTACAAGATGAGTCAGGGGCATCGTGACTCGGGCGTATTCACCTACGAGGCCATATTCATTGGTCTAGAGGGAAAATAAGACCTGTTTCTGGTCTAGGCAACTGAATCTCTGAAATTTATATTCATACAGGCTTATTGTCATGCCTGTGTTCGCGCTCATGGCTTTTCATCCCGATTGAGTCGCCAAGACAGTTTTATGTGCACTTTAGTGGCTGCACAGAAGAAATTCCACGTGGGAATTGAAATTATTTATAATGATATAATGGTTGAGCTTCGTTGTAAAAAGGATTATTCATACTGCTATCATAATAATGTTATTTTCGGGACACTAGCCAAGAGCCGCTATGAATCGAGCTTTTTGCACCATGGTGTGAAGGTCAACCAATACCCGTAGTGACAATATGATCAACCTCTGTCATGTATGGCTATTATCAATTGCAATGCTTAAATGTGCAAATGTTGGTATTTGTCACTATAAGAAAAAGCTCTAACTGCGAAGAACTTATACCCCCTTGATATGTTAACGGTATACCTCATTGCTAAAATCACCATGTCTTGGGAGCTGTGCCAGCCATAAGATATTCAGCGCCTACGAAAATTAGCATTGACCGCATTACCTTATCTCAACGCCAACATCTTTCGCTCCCACTTCTTCATGCAGCTCATGTGACAAGGACTCAGTGAGGGCTTACAGTATCATGACTCAATTCATCTAGTCACAGTCTTCGGTATTAAAAGTCCTTGGTCTTCCTCGAGGCCTAATTAAATAAAAAATTCTTTAAATACAAGAAGTCAGTGAGGATCTTCTACCCAGGACCCATCATCGTAGCCCTCGTGTAACCGTGTGACAGCTCATCACCAGTCGCAACTGGGCTAATGATGAAGACAACGCAGCAGAAACCGCAGCAAGTTACTCCTCTTTGCTTCCTTTTTCGGAAAGACCTTCCCGTTTTCCCAAGTATATTTTGCAAGTTTCCCAACACTTCCAAATTTGTAAACCGGCTCTCCAGTTCGTTCAGAGTCGACAAAGTCGACAATATTGACATGGATGCGCTTGATGGCCTAGATCGCATGATTGTCCATTAGTCATGTTCGCTTTCGTAAATTGTCACTCCTCTTACTTTCTTGCAAGCAGTTATGCTAGTCGGAATGGGATCAATGCCCAATTTTTCACAAAGCCGCTGAAGGGCCTCGAGCTTGTTCTCGTCGGTCCCATATATCGATCCAAATTGCTCCACGAGTGCGATTCGAAAAGCAGCATTGGCTTCTTTTTCTTTCTGGCTCTTGGTCTTCCACCCGTAATGCTTGACTAGGCGGCGATACTCAGACCATACTTCGTTTGTGGGCTCGTAGTCAAAGTCAGGATAGGCTGCAAAGAAGGTGCCGATGTGATCGTCAGCTTTGGCCATGGTGTCACTGGCGGGAGCTATTGTCTTGTTCGTTTTCTCGTCTGCTGAGTGAGTCTGATATCGTTGATTGTAAGAATTGGATTGCAAATAGATTGGACTTTGATATGGAAGATGAAGAGTAAACTTGCGGAATAAAGTAGAGATTGGATCCGTTGTGAGTGTCATGCTTCCCCACGTCAGTGCATATGACAAACGGCGTTGATAGCAAACGGAGTCTTCCATGACCTTCTATACCTACACAGCACAGCACGAGCCTGTAGGTGACCAAGATTCACTGCGTCTCTGACCGTGGAAGTGAGTCTGTGTTCGTCAAATGAATCGGACCAGCGACTTTCAGACCGTAGTTCTCCCAGCGGCTTGTCTTGCATGGAGCATTGGTTATATTGGACCTGGTTGAATTGATAATTTATTTTCAGACGCAATCCGAAAGAGTCTTGATATTAAAATCAAACCACCAAGAAGAATAGAAATTTCATTTCCTCTAGCGCCCTAGATAATTGAACATTATATGCTCTTTTGGTTGTAGATACCCTGTATCTTTACCCGTTGACACTTGAAGTGCCACAGGGCAGTATCTTGTGAGTGGGCGGTTTTTGCCTTATGATGAATACTACGTTTACGAGGCTATATGATTTCACTCGCATCCAGGAGTGGCCTCACATATTGAACTGCTTCGGCATAACAGTAGCTTTAACTTACGCCATGATAGTATCGATACTTACTGACTCTTGAAAGTTGGAGAATTGCCAGAAATACGCTGAACTACTACGTAGTGACTTCTTATATTAAAGGCAACGATGAAATGTATTATTTTGTCTCCGTTGTCATTATCATTTAGCCTGAAAATCTAAGGGCTTTTGCTTTGACTAGAATATGTATCTCAAACTACACCTACAAGACATGAGTATCCAGGTATTGCGACAATGTCGCTACATAATTATCGGAGTGACACATCGGGATTATAGTAGCATCTAAACCTATGCGTTCTGCAAAACTCTAGCGCTGCCACAACGTAATCTCTAGTAGATAGACTGCAAAAGAGGGCTTCTTTGCGTGCCGGCGTAGAGGCAACCTCCCGAGTGTTTCATCATCTCAAACTGGAATGATTGTGTCGGCCGCATTGTCTTGTCATAATCGCCAGCTTGAATACCATCAATAATGTGTTCCTGAAGGGCCACATGGCGGAAAGCTGACTCTACCGGCTAGACGTCGACAAAGCGAGTGAGAATGTCATGCTCTTAAAGACGTTTCGAGATGACGCGTAGACAAGCGGCTGACCCGACACTTGAAGTATTGGCGTTTATGTGACTGCAAGTCTGCTTCACAGCTGTTTCTCCATCTGAGCGGCAATGTATGCGCCCTTCTTTTCCTCCCGCCGTATTTTTAACTCGTGTGTGTCGATAACGCAGATTGAGACGAGTTTAATCGACTGCTGCTTGTGGGTAAAAGCGGCACAGATGGTGCAATAGGCGACTGCGACCGCTTCTGTCCGAGCTGAAGAGATGATCGAGATTTGTCACCTCGAGCCGTAGCTGCTAATGCGTCCAACTCTTTGACGGTATCCAGGTTAATTTCTGACTTCATAAATGAGGCGCGGTCATCAGCCATGAGACGATAGCGCGCATCCGGGTTCTTCCGCAGCATTATCAAGGTCGTTGACACAATCACCATGATCAGCAAGACGCAGGCGAAAACAGCGTTGAGAGCAAACAAGACAACCCCAAACACGCCGACAACGACTCCTGGCACGCCAATGACGTTAGTAAATATAAAAAGAAAGATTGCGTTAAGAAAGTTGACTACGCAAATAGCGATATTAAAAGAATTAGTCGGCTTATCCATCCACGGCCGCATGACTGATGCGCTGATGACAGCAGCAGCTTCAATCACCAGCAACGCCACAGCTTGCACAACGCCCCTTGGCTGAGCAAGTGCAATAAATAGCGACTTTAACATGATGTATCCGAGGTAAGGGATAACGAAGTAGTAAGCTGATGCCCGGAATTGAATGTACAAGAAGCCCAATTTGCTGAGCACCCGTGAATCAGAGTACAAGATGTACGCAGGGTTTTGGTACACAGCGACTGAGCGCTGCGCAGTTCGAATGACCATGAAAGCTCCCCAGCCCAGGAACCCAGTAAGACCGACCAGGAACAAAACCGCCAAAGCCGCTTCAGCCCCGGAGTCGACGCGCGTGAGCTCCCAGAGTGAAAGGGTCGCCATCTGCAGAAAGCCAATGAGGGCCACCCGGTAAAGAACTCCCTTTAGGATCACACGCCAGTCTCTGCGGAAGTCGGTGAACCGATGGGATTTCATTATTCCCTTTTTGACGAGGAGCTGGCAAACGCCCTTAAAGCCCGCGACAACAAGAACAGTACCGAAGACGAAGATGACGAAGAACATGACACCTGTCAGGAATAGGTTTGTCGTCTCGATATTGGAGAGAAAAGCAACCCTCTCAATGCCACGGACAATGTGCATGCCCGATTCGTCCTCTTTGCGTCGCACATGCGCACTGCGTTTCTGAACAGAAACAGAAACGCTCGCCAGGGAATCCAACAACGTAGCTGGTGTGCCTCCCGTGGCGCGCTGATACCACGTCGCAATGATCTGTAAAAAGCCGACACGGATAATGCCCATGGACCACTGGAAATTCTGTGTCCAAGACTGAACAATGGGAGGCAGGTGGACGGCCATTAATCCGAGGGCAGCCTGGCCCTGGAAATAGCCAAACAGGGAGAGGGCATTGGCGGCAAGATGAGCGGCGGCATTGAATTGACCCAGGAAGTGTATTACCGCCGACGCGGTCAAGGCCAGACCGGCAATGACGGCAGTAAGCCATTTCACGGCCAGCTGGTTGACCGTTTTCCCGTTGGATATCTTGGCCTCGAGGCAGGCGATGGACTCGTTGGTCCCCGTCACGTTGATGAAGACTCTGACGGAAGCGTCCAGGTCGGGCACACTGTACGCCAAGCCCGGCAGGTCTTTGACGAAGGCAGGATCGACCTTTTGGTTGAATTTGTTGGTGAGCCTGCTGGCCTGCATCGGGCAGAGTCCCACGTCGAGCTGGCACGGGTCCACGACCCTCTGCAGAATCTGGTACCCGTATGCGTAGGCGCGAATGTCAAAGGTGACGTAGTTCTCGACGGTGGACGTGGCGACGATTTGGAAGCTCGCCGAGTTGTTGTTGGGGGTGAAGACGACGTTGAATAAACTGGCTGAGAAGCGAGAGTTTTCCTGGCAGCTGACGAGAGCTGTAGATTCCAGCTTTTGTATACAAAAGACGGGTGAGAAAATCAGACCCGTCAGGGTCATCAGCAGGTAGTGAGCGCGGAGGAAGTGCATCGTCGTGGTCATTTGGCCGACCGGCTGTGCGGTCACGCAAAGAGGGTACAGTGGCCGAAAGGAGAGGCGGTTGGGTGTGCCATGAGACGGCGTGGCAAGCAAGACTGAAAGGGACGAGAGCAAAACGCGAGCAAGGAAAACGAGGGACGTTGTTTTGCAGACTTGGAATCAAGTGTGTGACGTTGGAGGCGGACGTTGGAAGGATGAGATGAAACAGTCACAAAGCGCCCACGTTGGCCACGGCCACGGGAACTCGGCGGGAACCTAGCGGGAAACAAAAAGCGAAACCTCCACATTCGAGATACAAACCGGCGGCCGTCCGAACGGTTGGCCTCGAATCCATATTTGGAATGGCAAATTCAAGGGTGTGGCTATGCAATGCACCTGCGCTTACAACAAGTATAGCGAGTCAAGTCGCAATATGCGTCAAGTAATACGGACCACCTTTATGCAGCTTGCTAACCGCTTCAGGACGAGAATGGAGCTAGTCTCTCATCGGAATTTTTATTGCTTCAAGTTCGACAAGGCTTCTGGAAAACCAGATGGTGTAACATTTGGTTGATACATGGCCCGAGGCAGAGAGCCTTTTGGACGGATAGACGCACACGAGACGCAACAGATGCAGACTGTTATTAAGCGAGCCTGATCGGAATAGGAGATTGAACATGGAGCTGGAAAGGATGCATGCCAAGGAAGGGAGGCGTGCCATGGCGCGATGCAAATGCTTCGCGGTGGGCCAAGACGGCTCGGTACTCGGAGCGGCGAGTCTGGTCTTGACCATCTGATCGTCTTGGTTGGATCTAGTGCGTAACAAGTTCCAGATGTCAATCTAGTGTAGCGACGTGACCCTTGTTGGTTGTTCGTGAAGGAGTGACTCGGACGCTACTCCGCCCCAATGAAGCCCTCGTATAAGAGAGCTTACTGCGGCGACCCTTGTCCTGAAAGCCTGACCTGCCCACCCGCCATAGACCAATCCAATGCTCAATTATCTCATGTCAACTTGTATATATTATTATTATGGCGGGCTGTGCTTGAGCCGTCCGTTCAGACTCCCGCCGCGGTTTGAATCCCCGCAACCTTGATCGGACTCCTCATGCGCAACATGGTCAACTCATGCGATTGACGGTGGACAAAGGGTCTGGGACAACGAGGCAGCAGCCGACCCAACGGTAGTTTCACTGTCTTGCGTTGTTTGCCCCGATTTACATCGCTCATCATGATCTTGAGAACGAGCTGCGGCTTCGTCCGCTGGGCAGCCGCGACGATTTGCCTCATTTCGCTGCTCGATTCGCGTGTAAGCGCCGCGTACAAAATCGACACCGTAGGTACGACAGCTCGTCTTCATCCACGCGCCCGTCTCAACCGCAGCCGCAGCTGACGCATACACAACCACTAGACGACATCAAGGAGACGGCTCGCTCCATGGCCGCCGACCTGAGGAGTCATTACCACGGCGATGAATACGGCCAGGTCCCCGGCATTCTGCCCGGGCCTCCCTCGGAAAACAAAGGCCCATACTACTGGTGGCAGGGCGGCGCCTTGATGGGCACCTTTATCGACTATTGGCACCTCACTGGCGACACGACATACAACGACCTCGTCATGCAGGGCATGCTTCACCAGGTGGGAGGCTCGGCCGACTACATGACGGAGAACTACTCCCTCTCGCTGGGGAATGATGATCAGGCTTTCTGGGGAATGAGCGCCCTCCTCGCAGCCGAGACGCGTTTCCCAAATCCCCCGGCCGATAAGCCGCAATGGCTCGCGCTGGCCCAGTCCGTCTGGGCGACTCAGGCGGATCCGAGTAGACATGACGAGCTATGCGGAGGAGGTTTACACTGGCAAATTCCCCCAACCAACAAGGGATATGACTACAAAAATAGTACGTTTCTTTCTAGTATCCTCCGTCTGTCCTCGGCTCGCCTTCTCATCTTACCCATTCGACCTACATAGCCATCTCAAACGGTTGCTTCTTCAACATGGGCGCCCGCCTGGCGCGGTACACGAACAACGATACTTATGCCAAATACGCCGAAGCATCTTGGGACTGGATCTGGGGGGTGAAATACATCGACCACGAGTCCTGGCTGGTTTATGATGGCGGCTACGGAGCTACCAACTGTTCAATCCTTACCAGAGCCACGTATTCTTACAACGCCGCCATCCTTCTACAAGGTGCGGCGTTCATGTACAATTATGTAATAACGTCCCTCTTCTCCCCGACAAACCACGACCTAGAGCTCGATTCTAACCTTTTTTCGTTTTTCCGGGGGGTACTAGACCAACGGGGATGAGAAATGGAAATCCCGCATCGACAAGTTACTCGCAGCCTCGCTGAAGAACTTCTTCCCCAGCGGCGTAGCATACGAGCCCAACTGCGAGATGAAGCAGGGACAGTGCACTGCCGATATGCTCTCCTTCAAAGGCTACGTCCATCGCTGGCTGTCCGTCGTCACACAAGTCGCGCCCTTTACGCGCGAGACGATTTTGCCCGTCTTGAAAAACTCCACCGAGGCGGCTGTGGCCCAGTGTACGGGGGGGAGCAGCGGGAGAGTGTGCGGCTTTTACTGGTCCTCGGGCAGGTATTACGATCCCGAGGTCGATCACACGAGCGGTGCTGGGGAGGCCATGAGTGCGCTGGCAGCAGTGTCGAGCTTGTTGATTGATGGTAGTAGTCCGCCGGTGACTAATGCGACGGGTGGTATCTCTAAGGGTAATGATGGGAGTGGCCATGCTAATAATGGCGAGAAGAAGCTTCCGGATATTAGCACGGGTGACCGGGCGGGCGCGTGGATTCTGACGGTTCTGTGTTTTGGACTGTTTGTTGCTGGATTCGTGTGGGTTTCTATGGCGGACTAGTAGATGCTGGTGTGAGGTCTTGTGTTATAAACAGTCAAGTCTTTCTTGTATTATAATACGTCTGCAGCTATTGTACAATCAATCTAAGCCTGGACTCGCGTGCGGAATTACAAAGGAGTTCTAACGGACTGTTCCTGGTTGCGAGGCAGTTGCATTATTCTTTGTCTCGGCGCAACTCGAATCTTACAAATCCTGGAAAAAAGAATAAGGATGAAGAAGTATCATGGCTAACAAACGTTCCCACCAACTGAGAACATAGCCGTCTGCTATTTGACCGGTTAGAATGTCCAAGTATTGGACTAAATCAGAGTACTCCCATTGAAGGACAGCCAGAATTAACCGGCACTCTTATCGATCATGTGAAGCTACTTGAGGAATGCGCTGGCTAGTCTATTATTCAACACCCGGGATTAACTCGTGACTCTCTCTGTCCTACATCACATACTAGTTCCTACTTTGTGTGATCAAGAACCGACAAGCAGTCTCACGTACTGCTCTTCCCTGCGATCACCCAGCTACGGTAGGAACTCCAACGACCATACCTAGATTTTCCATTCCTAAAGAATTTTTCGTGACTCTTGTCTAACCATGCCTTGAAGTATCTTGAATAACTTACTTCTCTAACCTGATTCAATTCCATAGTGTCATCAGACTCGGACATAGCTTTCTGGATAAGACGTGCTTGACGATCTTGATTATTTGTCTTAAAGATAAGGAGCGTAAACTTCTGGGATTCATTATTAGTCAAAGTAGAAAGCCAGATAATGGCAAAACGCTTATTTTCTCCTCATCTTGCTCAGTGGACCAGGTACCGCCTCCGAGATTCCAGAAAACTCCAATACGAGCGGTGACATATATCTACAGTGAGGCTGGTTCATCCGCCAACGTCTACGTGTAGCTGCTTTCTGTCTTTTTCCACCCTTTGCATGCCCTCAGCGATCTACTAGTACGCAGGGTATGCTTTTTGGTATTAATGCCGTCACCGAGACAGACGTATGTTTCTGTGCTCGAGTTAAAAACTGGGGTGTTGGTGATGGATTTCACCAGCGTTTTGTAAACTAGTTTGTCGTTGATGTCGGCTGCGACATAGAGGGATGAGATATAGTCAATGTTGGCAGTTCCTTCTTCAGCATCATCCCCATTAGAATTTCGTCCCTGGATCTTGACGTGACCCATGGATTTCTTGTTAGGGTTATTTCCCTCGACGTTAATGAACTGATGGATTGTAATGCCCAGCATTCCTGATGGCAGAGCTGGGTAGGGCACGGTATTTATGTCCTTCGAACCTGCTCCTCGTCGCCTGTGACAAGGGCTTAGGCTTGGAGCAATGACTCAATTCATCTAATAACAGTCTTTGGTATCAAAGGTCCTTGGTTCTCCTTAAGGCCTTGAAGGTCAAAGACGTTTTTAAATACAAGAAGTCAGTGAGGGCCTTCTGCCCTAATCCCGTGACCGTAGCCCTTGTGTAACCAACGCCATTTCCGTGTGACATCGCCAACTTGTTTCTTCTCGCGATGGCGGTCCCTTGGGTCCATAGCGTCTGTCCCGAGTCCCTTTTTGCACGGTCTGGTGCTCGTGGAGAGTGGCCCATCTCCCACTCGAGAACCCCTTTGACATTAGTGCGCGCAGTTTCTCCCTAGAGGCGGTCCTCTCTCCAGTACATCTTATTATTATCTAAAGTGGGGTCCTGTAAAGGAAACTCGGAGACTCCAGAGACATCGTCTGATTCCATGGTATTCGAGTCCCGCAGTCGCAGTCCTGACGAGCTAAGTTGCGAGCTTGGTGAATTTTGACCATCAGTACCTCGACCGCGTCAGTCTCTTGCTTTTGGTCCGAGGCACAGATGAACGAAGTCATATCCGAACTCATGGATTTTGGTTGAACAAAATTCGTCAAGGCAGCATTGATCTGCGATGGAAGAATAGAGGCGATAACAGGCAGTCTCAAAAGATGCATGGCCCAAGATGCGCCAATCGATAAACTGGTACTCATCTTTGGACTCTCGGTTAGGGCAAACGTTATCATCTTTAAAAAAGGTAATTCCGGATGCATCTGGATCCTAACTCGGGCTGTGGTAACAAGTTCTTGGACTTAGACAAATATTGGTAGAGGCATAGGTCCCAGCATTGCTAGTATGTCAGCGGGCATGTGGTTTTTTCGGGGCCGAAAGGGAGATTTATAATATGTAATAGAGATTTCCAGGTTATAAAACACCCCTCCCTCTATGTTAATTGCCTATTCCTGAAGGGAGGTTTTTACACGGAATCCTGATATAAGTTTATATAATTACTATAAAGCTTAACTAAATAATTAATATTAATTAATTATTGGTT